GAACGTACCGCCGAATACCACTGCGTACTGTCTCATCATACACGATCGCGTGATCCAGTACAATCCGTTGACCAACGTTGTACGCAAAATCACCTAAGTGTTTGCGATAACATCGACGCAAGAGAGAGGAGGAAGAGGAGCATGATATAAATCAAAGTCTTGCGAGATGGTTTTAGAGTTTTGTCGTTCCTCTCGACTGGCGTATCGAAGAGATAGAGAGATCTCGTCATGTCCGTACCAACGTTTATGGATCTGCAAGGATTTATCGTTGGGAAAAATTTTGTCGTGAAGGAAGCGGCAGTCTTGAGAAATGGATACGTTCTATCGCATTACTTTTTCGCAAGTCCCGTACCGTGGCACACGCTTACAAAATCTGAGCGATGTCAAGTCTCATGGCTGATTAAAAATCATCACGGATTGCAATGGGAAGACGGAAACGTTCCGTATGGCTTGGCTCAGCGTGCGATTACAACAGCTGTCGTTGGACGATACACGAAGATGAAGAAGAAGAATCGTCCGTCGTGTACGTCAAAGGACTTGAAAAGCGAAAATGGCTGGCCGATATACTAGACGATGCGGGGAACGGCTATATTATTGAAACCTTGGATGCGGATTACGAAGATATCGATGCTCTAAATAAATTAGACGATACGAATAGTATGCGATGTGGAAAACATGTTAAGAATTGCGCCTTACAAAATGTATTCAAAATATTTAACTGGTGGTCGCGACGCCAGAAAGAATTGCGATAAAAATAAAATATGTAAACATTCATATGCATTATCTCTTTTATTTACCCACCCTAATCCTTTGCATGCGTTTCTAAGAATTCTTTTGTTCGAGCACCGCCTCCCTCTTCTCCTAAATTTTAATGCGTTAGAAACATTGATCCCCCACCACTACATTATATTTTTAATAAATGAGCGTCGGGTATAACCGATTAATTCCTGTACGACCAGTGTCGCGTTAACCGCTCGTGGATTCACTTTTCATAATCTCCCAGAGAAATGTACTACGTTGAAAGAAGCAGCAGCGGTAGCAGCAGTGGCGGTATCGGAAGACACGTGAATAATTACGTGCCGAGTCGTGATAAAACTCCATCGTTTGAGAACAAATACGACGAGTACGTTTCGTTTAACATTTTTTTTCTATTTTTCTATTTTTCTATTTTTCTATTTTTTACAAATTGTATTATTAGTATTACTTAATTTTAATTTTTTCCCGTAGCATTTCGTCGGAGCGTCGTGCGGTTCGTATACTAGGCAGACGATACGCATTGACAGCTACGGAATTCAAATTCCTCGAAATCTGTATCAACGTGGGTCCGCCGAGTTACGTGGAGATTGTCATAGGAGATCATCGGGGAAAGGGACTGAAATTATCTCTCGAAACGTGGAAAGGACTCTGCGAGCAACGTCGCGATATTCTAAATCTCCTTCGGAACGATTCTCACGACATCTATAATTTTATAAGCGTTGGACCGCTAACAGTGCGAGTTCGTACGATTAACGACTCTAAATTCATAAGTCTCGAATCTTCGAACGTATGCATGATGATGATAGAATCGACGTTACATCGTATGTTCGATCTCGATCAATGCATAGATGTAACTTTTGATCGATTAGATAAAATTATCCAAACAGTCGATGTCAAATTTACGCAATTCTCCAATATCGCGTCCACTGTAACGGATCCTAAAGAAGTATCAAATGTAATACGCGCGAGTGACGCTTTCAACAAGTATTAACTCGTCGATTGCGAGCTGGCGGCTTTAGCTTTTAGTCCATATAATACGTAAGACAAAAAAATATGTAAAAACATGAATAAAGAGTTTTAAGTTTACTATATCGTGATGTACTTTTTTTTGCGTTTGCTTGCGTTTATAAAACGGTTGAACATCGGCGCTGATACGTTAAAAATTCTTCTGAGAAAAAATTGCGTAAGACGATTCTGGGAGGTGCCATTTGTTTATATTGTTTATAAATTCTCATGCTGCGTAATTCAATGAGAGAGAGATAAGGAAACGTCGAATGGAAAAAAAATCTAGAATTACTTATATCGGGGGTGAGGGGTGTACCGCAAAAGCCATTTTGTTTTGCAAAAACATGTTCCAACGCGTTAGGATATAATACAATATTGCTTAAGGAATACCGCTGTTTATATTGTTTATAAATATTTTATCAACCGGGCATGTAATACAATATTGCGATAAAACATCTAACACGCGCCGCTGCCGAAATCCCCTCCGTCCCGCGTGACGTCATTCCCCCGCGCCACCGTAATCTCCCGCGCGCCTCACCCCCCCTGAGAGGACCTGAGTTAGAATCCGCCCTATATACCTACTGATATAATATATGTATATACTTATCTCGAATGAGGTAAAAAATTCATATATGTCAACTGTTATAAACTCAAAAATAATTACATTATTATATTTATATATTTACAACTAATTATAGAGGACATTATTCGCGTTTCCTCTGTCACTCATAATTTTACAACCAGTTTGTTACAATTATCGGTTATATATAATGTCGAAAATTAATTATATTCCCATGTTCAAAAAAATATTATTTATACATAGAGATATAAATAATCACAATCATTAAATTTTGTTTCGGTTGCTCAAAAACACAAATTAGATATATCATTATATTATTTGATTTTCTACAATCATGAAAACGGATGTGATATTTTTTAATAATAATCAAAATTGTATGAAAAATAAGATTACAAAATTTCTTTAATTTTCATTGATATATATAACATTAAGATTAAACCTAAAAGTAATCAGATCAGAATCAATTTAAAAATATCCTAGAAATATTTTTTCTACATTAAGATATTTATTGAGTCGTTTGGAAAATAACATAAACATTAATTTAAGTATATCGGCTAAATAATATCGACCGGACTCAGTAAGGCATCCTCTATGTTCTTTCTTAATGCTATAATATTTTTCAGACAAAATTCGAAATTTGGTCTAGCATCCGCTGCACTCCAGCAACTTAGCATCATCTGGTACAATGGTGACGGACAGTTAAGAGTTATTGGCAACCTGCCTCCGGCACGTACATAATTTATCACTTCTTCATTAGCCTTGGCACTATAAGGTTGCTCACCCAACGATGTAATTTCCCACATTAATATACCAAATGACCAAACATCGCTTTGAGAAGTAAATATTCCCATTATCAAAGATTCGGGTGCCATCCAGCGAATAGGAAGCAAACCTTCTCCTTTCTAAAACATGATTTAAACAAAAATTTAATTTTCTGATTTAAGTTGTTCATTTCTAGAATGTGTGCAAAATCAAAAACGTTAATTTATCTCTTGTTATATATAAATAAAAACTACTTATATTCTATATTACTTAAAAAAACAATGCAGTATACTATTATGATAAAAAAATGGAAAGTATTTTAAAAATAATTCAATTTTTAATCATTAAATATTTTCATTGTATTTACCAAGCGATAATAATCATCCTTGTAGATATCTCTAGCTAGTCCAAAATCTCCAATTTTGATGACACGATTCTCTCGATTCCTCGAAGATACTAAACAATTGCGACACGCTAGATCTCTATGTACGAAACGCAACTCTTCCAAGTAGCAACAACCTCGCGCAACATCTTCGCACATGGCGAGCAAATCCTGCAAACGCAAAGCAGACGAATCTGACGCTTGCAAATTTCGACATTCTCTCAAATATTTTAACAGATCTCCAGTTTCCATCAATTCCAACACTAGTAACGGAGAATCTCCATCTAAACAAACGGCCAACAATTTTAACATATGTTTGTGTTGAAAATGATTCATAAGCTTGGCTTCCTTTAACAATTTCTCTTTCTCATGGGAAGATGCATCTTTTCGAAGCGTTTTTATTGCAACGGATATCTCTGTGCCCGATTTTTCTAAATCCTTCACTTTTCCTTGATATACCTGCAAAATATTTTACACAAATTTACATGCGTACTTTATTGAAAAATATATAGTTTAATGTCAAGTAGTATTTTATAATTTACTTTATAATTTACTTTATAATTTACTTTATGTTTTACTTTATATTAAATAATTCAATGAAAAGTATATAATAAAGTGCATGCTTGTTTTCTCATGTAAATTTTATATTACTTATAATCTATTTAAAAAATTCATGTAATTTATATCTTTATTAAAAATACGTATCTGTTTTGTTAATCCAAAAAATAATTTAAAATATTGCTTGAAAAAATTAATTTTTACCATTCCGAATGCGCCGCTACCGAGATGTTTCGTAAATGTAATTTGATTTCGTGAGATTTTAGTTATCGCACATTCATCCGGGTTATAATGTAACATAGGACTGTAAATCATATTGAATTGAGTGTTTCGGCAAGGTACTTCAGGTAGAATCGCCAATTCTACGTCGGCCATTGTAGAAGACAAAAATTGTTCATTATTACCTCTGCGTTGACGATACACTATTATAAAGTTTCGATTTAATTATGTAATAATATGTATTATAAAATTTACTGTATTTTAGTCAATTTATTCGTTTAGTTTTATATATGTAAATTACTATTTTCAGTAAATCTCTAGATATTATATCAGATATATATGTATAATCTACAATTCAACATTTGACATTTATATCAAATATACTTACAACGATAAATGTAGAAAATGCATATTATAGGAACTATAACCAACATCAATAAGTAATATTTATTCGCTATTATTCCAGGAGTGCTCGGAATATCTAGATTAAGCAAAAGTATAATTTTAATATCTTCGTGTGTGTATATTTTTACAAATTTATTTTTACTTATAACTTTATTATAAGATTTAATTTTTTTTAATTTCAGATTCCTATTCATATCCAAAAAATATCAGCACATAATATTATAATATCTACGCAGCACAAAATATTACAACTACTTTGCAACAATGTTACAATATTACAAATTGCAAGGCAACATTACGGAAACATTGTAGAAATATAATTTAACAAAATGTGAATTAGATATTAGCAATATGATATTCACATTTTGAAAACACTTTAAAACTATAACACTCTTTAATTTATCTATAAAAATAATGTAATAATACATTTTTTTATATCTGTATATATGCGATAAATTTTTCTTTTTTGCAGAAGTCAAATGAATTATTGACACAAATAATATCGAGTAAATATAATTCTAAGCTACAGATAAGCCTTGCTATTTTTTTATTAAAATATAGATAACATTTTATATCAATGTTACAATATATTTTATGATATATTTTTACTTCATGTACGAATACGATAATTTTCAAAGATAATATATCTTTTTATTATATTAAGAATATATATTATTATATCTCTCATTATATTTTTCTATGCATTTGTCTGTACTTTTCACATGCAAATATATGTAATTATAACAGATCTTTAAAATTTTTAAATTTTTAAATAAAAATGTAATTAGGAATGTATATTAATTCTATAACTAATATATAAATGTATATAAAATACCCATTATAAGAGTATATAGAACATTTAAAATAAAAAAAGTGATTCGTAAGTAATAATTTAGAGCAATTTTGTATAAAAATATAACATTTTATTTTATATGATGTTATGTTTCAATATAATTTTGCAATATATTAGATATCATAAACTAGTATTTATATCAAGCTTTTTAATTTAATTAAATGTTTCCAAGATATTCATCCATCAAACACAAAAAATATTTTATACGTAATGTTATTAAAAAGCTGCAATAACATTGCATTCTTTCCAATATATTACACTGTAATATTGCTATAATATTTCATTGCAAAAAGCGAACACTTTAACTTTATCACAATCTTATAACAATAACTCAGCAAAGTTTCGCATTCGATTTGCAATATTGCAATGTTTCAATGAAATCATTCTTTAATATATTCGCAACCTTATTGTGCTGTATGGATATTTTCATTTGCTTACCACGTTTGCTATCACGTGTTGAAAAAATAAATCTTTCATCAGCCGGCCATATAAAAGTTTCCTCATATTCGAGATATCTCAATATCAAGTGAAACTTGTATAAAGTTCCCGATTGTAAATTTTTGACATGGTACATTACTTCATTGTTATAATTTATTTTAAAATAATTCATTTTTTGCCACTTTTCTGCTGCAATATCTTTGTACTCTAGTGTAAAAAAGATCGTCAGATTAATGTTGGATATCCATGAAATGTCCATGCTATTTATGTCGACCTCGTTCAAAGTAATATTGTTTGGTTCTGAGTATATGTGAACAATCTTGCTTAAACTCTCGTTGTAGAAATCGCTGATATTAATTGGATACACACGCACGTATATCAAGTAATCTTGTACTGGTAGCGACAAGTTAATCTTTGTGAAAAATCTGCCATCTACCATACGTTTTGGCATATTAATAAATTGTTTGCTCTTTTGTTGCATGCCGTTCACTAATATAATTGGCTTGCAATGTACTTCGTAGGTCACCCCCACGCAGTTCAATTTCTTGGATGGCATCCAATGAACTACTGCTATAGTAGGCGTCAAAGCTAAAACACTTATGTTTTCTGGTGCATTAAGCTTGCCTGAATTAGTTTTTACTGATATCACATTTGAATCGAATGGATTTATTGATAATTGATCAGAGTAAAAATTGTTTAAAGTAAACTTCAACTTATACTCTGTAAACGGTGTTAAGTTCTGAATCTCGTAATGTCGCTCGTACGTCACATATCGCAGCACATTGAATTTTTCAGACTTGTCGAGGTTGTTGTCTAAACAATGGCTTACAGAGATAGTATATATAGTAGTTGGTAAATTATATTTTTTGCATCCACTCTTTACAACCGGCTCCGGAAGATTTACAAAGATGCTGTTTGCCATTGCAGTCACATTTTCAAAATTGTAAACTTTCTCGTCAGGTGTGAGGCATCTCATTGGAGGATATGGTTGTAAAGATTGATCAAAGGTTTGAATTTCATCAAATATTATATCTTCATTTGAGCTTATTATCTTTTCAACATATTTGTCTGCATTTATGCTCTTGAGACTTGCATATTTCTTTTTCAAAACATAAAGAGAAAATTCATCTGTATAATGATATGCTAAAATGTAAATGTTTCTTTTGTCAATCGTCATAGATTCGAAACTAGAGATATCACTTATGTTTTCCTTGTGTAAAATCTTACTGCATATAGAAGCGTTAGTGTCTGTCACAAATATGCGATTAGAATATAACCAGTAAATTAACGGCTCCTCATTATTTATGTTTTCAAATATTGTTCTATGAAAATATGCATCTTCATCATGAAATAGGCAAAAGGATGTATTTATCGAAACAATTTGCTCAATTTTTTTATCGGGATGATATTTTTTTATTTTATATTCTTCATTCGTCGAATTGTATGATACGTAATATAAAATTCTAAAAGATATTTTATAATTTTACTCTCATTTTTACTTTCATTATAAAACATTATTTTAACAGAAAACAGAAATTTGTTTGTAGTGAAAATTCGAAATTCTTATAATTATATTATAACCTATTATTTTTTTTACTTATGATCTTAATTGTAAAATCACGTAAAATTATAGAAAAGTTACAAATATGCATAAATCTTTAATAGAAAATTATTTTTTCAGGTGAACGGTAGTAAACGTACCCCATAGACGGTGACACACTTAAATGGAAAATATTAACGTCTGATAATTTGACAATTTCATCAAATTTAATTATGCCATTTTCCCACATTGTTAAGTCGAACTTTATAATTTGAGAGTAGGCTGACTCATCATAATACATGAAATATAGATTTCTTGTTACCCAGTCAATGCAGAGATTATATAGATAATTATCAAAGCTAGCTATTTCTGTGATTTTATTTTCATTAATCTTCAATGTCATTAGGTCTCTTTCTGTTAGCCAATAAATTCTATGTTCTTGTATCGAATAAGTAACTTCATATCCTACATATCTGAAAAAAAGGAACCAATTATAATTGTATAGTAAAAAGTTATATTTGAAATTTCTGATTTTATAGTTATTACTGCTGTAATGTTGATAATAATAAACATGTGCATAATAATAATAACTTTAATTTTATACTTAATGTTAAAAACAATTTATGATAAATATAACTGTTTTTTATCAGTATACGTACCCTGACATTAAGGTATCAGTAATTCTTAAATCCACGTCCAATATTTTCATATCTAGATCCGTTGTGAGTAATAATTTAGGTATTGGATTTTCATGTGTAGTCGACACATTAATTAAATCCGTGTAAGGACCAGCAACAATTTTAGTATGCGCACGTACTCGAAAATAATATGTTGTGTTAGAGGTTAGATTGTGCACTGTGTGCTCCAATTTTGTAACTGTGATATTTTTATCGTCGCAGGTTTCTTTAAAGTCCTCGAAGAAAGAACACTGCACTTGATACACTTGTATTATTTCATCGACAAATTCTGGTTGGTTCCATCTGTAAAACATAAAATTTTAGCAAAACGAAATAAAAAGAAAGGCTAAAAGAACGTGGCGCAAGAGCGTAAAAAAGTCGAAATAATAATAAAGACTCTAAGTAAGAGACATAATATATTAATAATCAGTCAGATATAAAAATATAAAAAATATGTCTGAAAAAATTGATTCGAGTGAACAGAAAATAATACATACATACGTTTCGATATTTTCAAGATCCTTTTCAATGTTCGAAATGTCGTTAGAAAATAAATTAAAATTAAATTAAAATAAATTAAAATAATAAATTGAAATAAAATTTGAGCCATTTTATATTTTAACAAAATTTTGACAGAATTATCATTTTGATATATTTATGTCGATAAATTTAAGAAAAAGAAAGAATAATGGAAGAATACAAACTGAGAATTTAGATTTCTTACCTCAGTGTCACAAAAACTTTTTCTGTAAATTGACTGTCGAATTGTACAAATGCTCTGAGAGATATTGGCTTGCTCAAACTGCTTTCTAAAGATTTTAAGATCGTACACATTAACACAGTTATACAGGGTTTGTCAAAAGTGTGGAAACCCCTAAATAACTTTTGTAAAAATGAAAATATCAAAAAACGGTAAAACACGCATTTTGATATTTCGAAAAAGCTACTCTATGACATGGATACCGATCATCCCCCACCCTCTGGTACGCTGGTAAGAGGGGGGTTGAAAATTTTAAATTGGACTAGGGGTCAAGTGGGGGCTTATTTGAAAGGTCTTTTCATAATAAACACACCCTTAAAATTTTAAGTCGCTACGACCTCTCCATTAAAAATGGCGGCCGTTCAAATTTCGAAATTTCATACACTTAGTGTTATCCAGGATCAACTGGGAAATGGCATGAATTTGATCTCTTGTGTGCGTGTGTGTATGCGCGCGCGCGCGTGTGGCTAAACAAGTGTGAATGTGTACATTGTGGTGATAGATTGCAGAACAGACTTGAAAACTGTCATCTCTCTTTAATGATTCGAAACCTTTTACTCCGTGTTTTAAAATAAATTTTACTCAGTGTGTTAAAGTAAATGCTGAAAGTGGTTGCCATTTACTTCCTGACAATATGCCAATCTTTGATAGAATGCAGAAATGGCTCCACGATTCGTTTCAAAAGGTATCAAATCTATTTCATCCCTTATTCGCTGTATCAATTCTTGGATGCTTTCAG